ATGCCTAACTTCACCGATGGTAATGACGACATTGATGATTTTTTACGTAGGTTTGAGAAATTAGCAGGTTTGCAAGGATGGGATTCGAATGACTACCATGTTTATCTCGGTTCACTCTTGGGAGGTAAGGCCTTGCAAATTTACGTAAGTTTGCCAGACGATGTCTTGAAAGATTATAGACAATTAAAAGATGCATTGTTGAAGGCATATAACGTTGACGCAGACTCCTATCGTAAAAAGTTCAAAGAAAGTAAAGCGGGTGAAGACGAAACTTACGTTCAGTTAATTACGAGAATGACCCAGTATTTAGATCACTGGTTAATAATGAGTGATGTGGAGAGGGAGTATAACTCGTTGTTCGACTTCTTGATACGCGACCAGCTGTTGAGTAATTGCCCTCTTGACCTTCGCATCTTTCTCAAAGAACGAACGTTCGTTAGCACAGTGGAAATGGCCCAAGCAGCGGATAGGTTTCGTTGCGCCCATAGAGCTGTCAGAAGTCGTAAAACGCCTGTTAAAGACGACACTGCTTTCAAGAAAGACCCGAATGTTTCCCTTAAGGATGTGATTTGTCACCATTGTTCTAAGGGGGGTCACATACGTCCTTCTTGTCCCGAACTTAAATTCTCGAAATCTAAGACTTTTCAGACAGTAAATGCTGCATTTAAGGCTGACATAAATTACGATCAGGGTATTACGTGTGAAGGATCGTTGTATGGCAAGCCGGTAAATGTACTTTTTGATTCAGGTTGCTCGTCAATTATAGTGAAGGAATCGCTCGTGCCCGCCTCCGTCAAGCGAGGAAAGGTAGTTACACTATATGACTACCTGGGGGAGCGGCGCGAATTCCCCACCGCACGTTGTCTGATTAAGAGTAAATTCCTGAATGGATGGTTTAACGTCGTGGTCGCTCCGATAAAATTCACGGATATCCTCGTCGGTATGGTGCCGGGTGTCAAGGTGTCGAGCGTGAACATACCGGGTATAAAAGTAACCGAAACTCCTCAGAGAAGCGATGTTAATGCTGTCGCGACGCGGGCCGCCAAAGCGAAGGAAAATGTCGGTCCGGATAAATTAATTGTTCCTAACTTCAAATTTGAGAACGTATCGAAACAAGATTTCATAGATGCTCAGTCTTCCTGCCCTTCTCTAGAACACATTCGTTCTAAAGAATTAAGTAAAGCCATTGTAACTGTAAAAAGTCGCTCGGTAAAGTTCGAACGCGTGAATGGGTTGATCTACCGAATCTGCGTAAAGAGTAAACACGAACACGAAGTCGGTGAGAAACAATTGGTTGTGCCCCGTAGGTTTATTCCTATAATTTTATCTATGGCTCACGATTCCCCATTGGCGGGTCATTTCTCTCATCGAAAGACTGCAGGAAAAATCTTCCACAAATTCTTTTGGCCAGGAGCAGGCGCAGAGATCAAACGTTACTGTCGCTCTTGTCATGCTTGCCAGAAAACCGTTCCTAAGGGAAAGATCAGAAAGGCGCCTATGGTTCAGATGCCAATCATTAGCGAACCGTTTTCCCGAGTGGCGATTGATATCGTCGGGCCGATCTCCCCGCCCTCTAGCCGAGGCCACAAGTACATGCTGACCTTGATTGACATGGCCACCCGATTTCCCGAGGCAGTTCCTCTGAGAAATATAAATTCGGTAACTGTTGCTAACTATTTTTGCTCGCGTGGGAATACCGAAAGAGATTCTTTCTGATCGTGGTACTCAGTTTAAGTCTGATTTGATGGCAGAGATCAACCAACTGCTTTCTATTCAAGCATTATACACTAGTCCGTATCACGCTTGTTGTAATGGCACCGTCGAACGGTTTCACGCAGTATTAAAAGCGATGTTGAAAAAGCTCTGCAGCGAGCGACCTCATGACTGGGATCGTTATATCCCATCCGTCTTGTTTGCGTATCGGGAGATTCCCCACGATACGCTTAAATTTAGTCCATTCGAGTTACTGTATGGCCGTAAGGTACGTGGCCCATTATCAATTTTACATAATTTGTGGACTAAAGATGATATTGATGGAGAAGTTAAAAGCACCTATCAATATGTATTAGATCTCCGATCTAGATTAGAACATTCGGCTCAATTAGCATTCGCTCATGCAGACGTGAGTAGCAAAATTTACAAGACCTACTTTGACAGGAAAGCTAGAGCTCGAACATTAAAAGAAGGGGATGAAGTACTGGTGTTGTTACCAACATCCCATAATAAACTAACAGTTCAGTGGAAGGGTAGATGGAGTAGATTATGAAATAAAAGTAAAGGGAAAAATAAAGCTTTATCATGTAAACATGTTGAAGAAATACGAAAGACGTGAAAGCAACACTTCTCACTCTCAGGTGTGCCAAGCTTGCGTTGTAGATGAAGTTTCCGAATCCGTAGATAAGACTGCTAATGATGTATGTGATCTACCTGAATTGTATGAGCCTGGCGAAAGTGATTTTAACTTTAACTCTGAACTTTCGAATGGACAAACCTCAGAGCTAAAAGATCTATTAGCTAATTTTCTTGACGTATTTTCCAACAAACCAGGCGTAAACAGCACAGTAATTCATGATATTCATCTGACTACAGATATTCCAGTTCATACTAAGCCTTATCCTGTTCCATATCATTTACGTAACGCATTTGACGAGGAAGTGGAAAGGATGAAAGAATTGAGAGTAATTGAACCGTCAACATCTGCTTATTGTTCACCTGTAGTACTAGTGAAGAAAGCTGACAATTCATGGCGTTTTTGTGTGGACTTCAGAGCTCTCAATGACGTAAGCCTCTTTGACGCAGAGCCTATGCCGACCATGGAAGAAGCGTTGGGGTGATTTCGTGGGAGATTCTTTCTTTACGGAAATTGATCTCTGTAAGGGATATTGGCAAATTCCTTTGAGCGATAAAGCTAAGCAGTACACAGCGTTTGCAACACCGAAGGATGGCCTTATGCAGTTCACAAAATTACCATTCGGTTTACGTACGGCGTGCGCTACTTTTATAGACTGATGCGTAAGGTAACTGCTGGTCTAAGCAATGTTAGCTGCTATTTTGATAATCTAGTTGTACATAGTAGGACATTTTCTGATCATATTAAACATTTGAGGAAAGTTCTGGAGCATTTGCGCGAGCACGGGTTAACCGCCGGGCCAAGTAAATGCTATTTTGCATATCCTAACATTAAGTATCTGGGACTTAATCTTGATAGTAAGGGTCTAAGTACACTTCCCGATAGAGTCGGTGCTATTAAGAACATGCCATTACCGGAGACGAAGAAACAGTTACGCAGCTTTCTCGGAACTCTCTCGTTCTACCGTAAGTTCATTCCGAACCTGGCAGATCTCGCGTATCCTCTGAATGCTCTTTTAAGGAAATTCAGTCCTAATAAATTGAACCTGACCCCTAACCTCGTTGACAGAATTAATGAATTAAAAGATCTTTTGATGAATGCTCCTATTCTGACTTTGCCCGACTACAGTAAAACGTTCTATCTCCGCACAGATGCGAGTGACACTGGCCTCGGGGCAGTACTGTTGCAAAGTGTCGATGGCGTCCTCATGCCCATCGCTTATGCAAGTAGAAAACTTAAAGATCGGGAGACTCTTTACGCTGTCATTGAACGAGAAGGTTTGGCGATTGTTTGGGCAATCAACAAATTCTGGTGCTATTTGTACGGACGCGAATTTATTTTGCAGACGGATCAACAGCCACTGAAGTATATAAAAAACATGAAACACAGCAACGGGCGGCTTATGCGCTGGTCCCTCGCCCTTCAGTCACATTCATTTACAATAGAGTATATAAAAGGGCAAGAAAATGTTGGTGCTGACATACTCAGCCGATGTTCTGTATAAAGTTTTCTTCTTTCTTACGTAACAAGCTTACGTCAAGTATTTAGTCTTGAGTTAATTTGAGTGAAACCCCACTTTTAACTAAAATCTTGTGATTTTAAGTTGAATTGGGGGGCTTTGTAAAGGGTTTCTGTTTAGTGATGGTTTCACTAAATCGTGTTGAGCATTATTGTATTTGTGTTGTGCGTATGTGTGTGCGTATACGGTGTGTGTGTGAGGTATAAGTGTCCCTTTGGTTCGCCTCCACCGTTCGGATGGCAGTTTCGAACCAACCAAAGCCTCATGTCAACCCTCGTCGGTGGTTGCCATTCTATGGTTTGCCACTCTACTCTGAGCTCCACACCTGAACACTTTCCTCTATAATTTGGGCCGAGCAGCCGATATCTGAAGCCGACTCTACCAGTGGCTATTTCGCTCCTGTACTATTCCACCTCAGGTGCATGACGGTCTTGGCTGGGCTACTTCTTCTACCAACTCTTCACTGACGGATTATTAAGACCTACCGTATACATTTCTGTGTTTTAAGTACATTTTTGTCAATATAGTTATGAAAATACTGTGTTATTTTTAATAAGCCCGAGATGATCTATACCCCAGAGGATACCAAATAAAAAGAACCAAAGGTTTATTGCAAACAATATCAAAGCAAAGAAACCACGGACAATCTGGCGCAGTGAGTAGGATCCTCTTATAGATTACTCGGAGCTCGTATATTTGTATGTACTTAATTTTTTTTCTTTCTTATGATCACAGAATGTAATGTGGAACCCGGAGGAGTGGCCAACCATAGAATGGTGATTCGGAGAACCAAATGGAGGAATGGTGTTCGGGATATTCTTTGGTGAAGGAGTGTGACGACTTGCGCTGCGAGTTGTATGTTCATACGTAATATTGCGTCATACGCGATCAGGTTAAGAGTCAATCTAGTCCGATCGTGCCTCCTTTTCACCGGTTACCGACGTGCATCGTCGCGAGTGTTCAGTGGTTAGGTGATTCTATTTTACCTCGCTGTACACAGGGAGATCAGTCAGTTACGACTGTGGTGTACCCCTGTGGTTGTTTAGATAACTGTTTATATCTTAACCGTGATGGCTTGTACTTTGTACACTTGTGCGTAAGCCTACCATTGCTGTTAACGATGTTTTCGCGCTAAGTCAGACTAGCCGTTGTTGTGCGATAGCCTGTGCGCCGTTTTCTTTTAACTGTTTCGCTTGCATAAAGTCAGTTTGGAACAGAATTAGAAGTTATTCTAAGTGTGTGCTTAGATATTTTGTACTTCTTTACAATCGATATTCTTGTTTTAGAATTATTGATTTGCGGAATTTCGATAGCGTGATTTACCCGTTCATCTCTTATCTATCGAATTCCTTTTTGTTTAATTGGTTCTTCTTTATATTTTTAAACATGTCGCTAAACTTAGTAGAACTCGTTAAGTGTGCTAAGGAAGCAGGTCTTTCTGCCGCAGACATAAATGCTTTGGTTTTGAAGGAGGAAGTAAGATACAAAGAGCAAAACGAAAGAGAAGAAAAGCAAAACGAAAGAGAGGAAAAGCAAAGAGAACGAGAAGAGAGACAGAAAGAGCGAGATCTGAAACGCGAAGAGTTAGAGGTTCAGGAGAGGGAAAGACAGCGCGAATATGAAGTGAACGAGGCTGATAAGCAGCGCGCTCACGAGTTGGCCCTTGCTCGCTTACGACCCGAGAACCCTTCGCTAAATGACAGTCGCGATCATTACCCAAAATTAAGAATGCCTAACTTCACCGATGGTAATGACGACATTGATGATTTTTTACGTAGGTTTGAGAAATTAGCAGGTTTGCAAGGATGGGATTCGAATGACTACCATGTTTATCTCGGTTCACTCTTGGGAGGTAAGGCCTTGCAAATTTACGTAAGTTTGCCAGACGATGTCTTGAAAGATTATAGACAATTAAAAGATGCATTGTTGAAGGCATATAACGTTGACGCAGACTCCTATCGTAAAAAGTTCAAAGAAAGTAAAGCGGGTGAAGACGAAACTTACGTTCAGTTAATTACGAGAATGACCCAGTATTTAGATCACTGGTTAATAATGAGTGATGTGGAGAGGGAGTATAACTCGTTGTTCGACTTCTTGATACGCGACCAGCTGTTGAGTAATTGCCCTCTTGACCTTCGCATCTTTCTCAAAGAACGAACGTTCGTTAGCACAGTGGAAATGGCCCAAGCAGCGGATAGGTTTCGTTGCGCCCATAGAGCTGTCAGAAGTCGTAAAACGCCTGTTAAAGACGACACTGCTTTCAAGAAAGACCCGAATGTTTCCCTTAAGGATGTGATTTGTCACCATTGTTCTAAGGGGGGTCACATACGTCCTTCTTGTCCCGAACTTAAATTCTCGAAATCTAAGACTTTTCAGACAGTAAATGCTGCATTTAAGGCTGACATAAATTACGATCAGGGTATTACGTGTGAAGGATCGTTGTATGGCAAGCCGGTAAATGTACTTTTTGATTCAGGTTGCTCGTCAATTATAGTGAAGGAATCGCTCGTGCCCGCCTCCGTCAAGCGAGGAAAGGTAGTTACACTATATGACTACCTGGGGGAGCGGCGCGAATTCCCCACCGCACGTTGTCTGATTAAGAGTAAATTCCTGAATGGATGGTTTAACGTCGTGGTCGCTCCGATAAAATTCACGGATATCCTCGTCGGTATGGTGCCGGGTGTCAAGGTGTCGAGCGTGAACATACCGGGTATAAAAGTAACCGAAACTCCTCAGAGAAGCGATGTTAATGCTGTCGCGACGCGGGCCGCCAAAGCGAAGGAAAATGTCGGTCCGGATAAATTAATTGTTCCTAACTTCAAATTTGAGAACGTATCGAAACAAGATTTCATAGATGCTCAGTCTTCCTGCCCTTCTCTAGAACACATTCGTTCTAAAGAATTAAGTAAAGCCATTGTAACTGTAAAAAGTCGCTCGGTAAAGTTCGAACGCGTGAATGGGTTGATCTACCGAAT